GAAGGACCTGTATACTGGTATTTTGGTCTTCTCAAAAACAGTGGAGTGTGTCAAGGGGAAGTACTTATATCCCCACCTCTTCCTCACTGCAGCAATGACAATTTGCATCCGTAACACTTATTTCTGATGCTTACTTATTCACACATTTTTTCCCGAGGTTCAAGGACCCTCTCTTTAAGTACATATCATATTAATTTTGCATTGTTCTGTTAGTATATGCATTTATTCGTTGATTAATGTATGCTTAATTAAGGTAGTCAGTCCCAGGGGAAAAAAAACTGAACATGAATAATTATGCAGGACTTTATCTGTGACGAAAACATTTGTGATTTACATGTGTTAAGGAGGGATGTCAAATTTTTTTTGAAAAAAATATCTCTAATTGTGATTAAAAATGAATGCAATTTGTAGATTCTATTGGACAAAAAAAGGACTAGTGGCGTCATAAAGACAACCAAGGGGTCAAGGGAATGCATGTTACATAAATGCATAGTATGTAGGGTAGAGGTATTGGTTTTGTAATGTTAGTAATTCAATACAACTTCACATAAAAGAAGAAATAGGGAGATAAAAGAAATACGAACATTAAAGGGAAATACAATCTCACGGGTGCGCTGTAATGCATGTAATGCACCATCGGTTTACTGGACTGCACAATATAAAATTATCAAGAGCTTGTGATTATTGCACACAAACGGACGTGTAAAATAATACAAGTCTGATGGCCGTAGATGGGTATGTCTTTTGTAGAAATCGAATACTAGTTTTGGAACGCCTGTTGTCTGATCTAGTCCTGGTGGGGTGATTGTCCTGATTTAGTGAGGGTGGATCAGGTTAGATAGACAATCTAAATAGGATACTTTCTATTCATCGGTCCTTCAAAGATTATCTTGGTGTCGTTTTTCATTTTATCGAAGTCAAAATCTGAGTCGGTGCTTTAATATTATATTTGTTCTATTTTTGGAATTGGAATTTAAATGAAGAAAAGGGGGACTTGAGCACAAGACGCCTTTTGTGTTGGGGTGTTCTAGATCTTTTTGAAACAGAGACCTTACCTGAAGTGGCAGGTATAATTTTAACTTCATTGACGTCAGAATATTAGAAATTTTAATTTTTAAAAGTTAATTGTGACGTCACTGTCATATGATTAGGGATTATCATAATAGGATTGTGTAAGAAAAGAAATGGGAATAAAAAGAACATGGCACCAACAACAGGGACCAAGATATTTACCCTGCACTTGGTAATGAAAAAATGTCGATCTATTGTAATTAAGCACAAGAGGTTCTTAAATTTGGCAATGTCTGCCAAATAACATTATATAGGTTAGCCAGGGAAAACTATTAACACGTTACTCCAAGGTCTTTGGAAAACCTTCACTCATGAAAAGATCCCGATCCATTCAGAAAATATTTTGGGTATTATAATCATGTGTGTTGTGCATGGGTGTTTGTGGTTTAATCCACAGATCGTGTGATAAAATTCCTGTTCAATCTTAATTACATTCATAAAAAATATAAAGCCAATTTTCTCCAATTTCGTAGAAAAAATTAATGTTGTAATTACATGAAAAATAGAATATGACCAACACTTTAAAGAAATTTAAACTTGATATAAAAAATGAAGTCAAATATTGCATGGTTCCAATATTTATTTTCTGATAACATATGCAAACATATGTAAAACGAATCGTGCAAAATAGGATAGACTAATATCATTTAAGTTAGTTCCAAATAATGAAATCAAACGGCATATATTTTGTGTGTTTCTTGGAGAAAATCCAAAACACAAATCGGACAGGAAAGGACAATGTCGGTGTGACGTGAATGCAGTGTTACGTCACAGATCTCATGGTCGTCTGCAGAGACAATCAATATTCCCATGGCCTTTTGCAGTTTTGAAGTTGTCTCTGTACCATTAAATATTGATCAGTGTAACATTGTTTCCAATATAAACAATATGGTTGCTATTTATCGGCAGACGATAGATAATACGATAAAAGTATAATTATTACCAGCTACAGGTGATTAAAAGGATCGTTTTATGGAATGGCCTGATAAAAAATACATACAGAGTGGATGACAATTGAATTAATCGATAATATCTAGTCTCATTTTGATGATCCGTTACCGTAATCAATGAAGTAGAGGCCATGTCTACCTCTGTGTTGTCTGTCCGTATCAGCCTCTGCTAGGTACTGACTCGATTTGGGTCACACATCCAAGGTTTGACAACAATGTCACTGAGATGCAGAATTTTGAAATTCATGCATACTTGTAAATGGATATCTGAATCTTTGTCGAAATCTTTTTATTTGACAGCACATATTGTATTACTGTTTGATGCTCAAAGAAAAAATGTTTTAACATAGGTTTTAAGAAGGACAAGATTTTCATCTGTATTGGTAGATATTTTAACGTCATGTGTTGTAAAATGTAAGGTGAGAACAGATATAGTTATTATTGAATTCAATCTGCGTGTTCCTCAGTTGTATTTGCAACACTTTGTTCGAGTAGGACGATGTCTTTCGAAGAAAAGTGTTTTCCCCCTTCTTATCAAATCTTGTTTCACTTCAAAGTGTCTGATATTCATAGATAATTAAACTAAAAACCTATAAGTCGTCTTTAATTAAATAACTTTTAACGATTATTCTGACCCAGAAGTTCTTATGTGATCGAATATGCACTAAACGTCTGTTTTTTGAAATACTAGAACTCCTACATAGATATAAATAATCAGTGTAAGCTATTTAATGTTCATTATATAATAAAAACTATTAGACATTTTAGTTATAAATTTTCTAAACAAATCTTTAACTTCTAACATTCATTTCATAAATTCAAGCCATATAAGCTATGTTTTTGAGAATTTTATTTTGCTGTAAAAATTACAATTATGACAGTTTTGTGTGTAACTTAAACCTTTATGCCTATTTGCTTTGAACAATCACTGACACTGAGCTTTTCCAACGCCAAAACGAATAACAGAAGATAGTAGCGCATATTGCTCTCTAGAAATCTTGCTTTTATTTTTGTGATTTATATAAAAAAGAATTTAATTTTTGAAGATTCATGAGGACATGAACTACGACGCTTCACGATTCATGATCTGTAAAATCGTGGTTAACCTATTGTGTAAGATGGCTTGATGTTAAGCAGAACTAAAGAAATGAAGCCCCCCCCCCCAAAAAAAAAAAAACCTCTCAGTGTTTACTTTATTAATTAAAAGGCATTAGTGTAAACAAACAAATCATGCATATTACTTATAATTCTGGGTTGACACAAAATCTCTAAAACTTTCAAGTTTAGATAGACATCACTCTTGAACAAAATAAATACAATGTGCTCGTGTACCCACTGTCAGACTGTTTACCGTGGCGAGGGGAAACATTTACGATGACGCGCCTAGTAACTATACAATGTGACGTCACTGGGACCCCCAGAGAGCTAGCGGAAATCATGTGAGTGTATTGATACACAGAAGGTAAATATTAAGTACGGCCTTCAACAGTGCGAGGAACTGTAGGCCTGTTGATCTTGTGGCATCAATTACAGCAGTTTAAAACTTGGCAGAGTTCCAGATCATGAAGTACAATGCACATGCATCGAAGTTTTTATTTTTATTATTTTTTTTTTAAATCTAACGTTGTTTTAAAACTTTGGTACCTTATTCAGCTCATTGTATTTATTCAATGATTATACATGTACTGATCGAGCTGTTCATTGGCCTGTAATAGACAACACTAATTAAACACTTAGTTTATATTTATATTTCAGACATGCAGGTGTTAGAACTACATGTATATGTGGCTTCTATTTTCATAATTTAGTCAAATTTAATTGTTTAGTGCTGTATCTAGAATACTATAAGAGTTCTGTAAATTATTTAATCAGTGATATCTATTCATACTAAAAGTGAGGAAAACACATGATACTTGATATATATACGTACGATATTTTGTAGCATTTTTCATTTACCAATAAAACATGTTTGTTTCTTTCTTTCGTTTTTTTCCCCTTCTTTTTAATTCGATATTTAAACGCCTTCACTACACTTGTAACTGGAATCATTCTGTCTAAGGTGTGGCGGTATGGGTCGAGGTAAGTCGAGCCCTAGAAGTCTCATTTGACCTCAAACCACAAACATTCATCCACCCCCTACTCACGCCCCAGTTGTCTTTTGCTGGCTGTGCGGTATTTTCAAAATGTCTCTCGTTAATGTATTCGACATCTAGGGAAAATTAAAGAATTATTTTTGAATGTAAATGATGTATTTTGTATACTATAAAATAAACATATGCAAAGCTGTACCTGGTGTTGTGTGATAAAAGGTCTACGTGCTAATAATATTCTATTCGAGATAATAGTATCTAGGTCGCATATTTGTGACGTATAGGGATTCCCGTTTTATGAATGGAGTCTCGTGATTTTTAGTAGGCTATGACGTCACAGAGCAGCTTGCAAACTTCTTTGCGCCAATATTGCATGATACTAATTTTAACAACAGTTACTGTATTGAAAAAAGCATGTGCTTTTCATACACAACATACATATAAGCGATATTAAAGAGACTTTATTAATACATACCCTTGGGTAATAAACATCACCACAACACATATCAATTATTGTGTTTTAAATTTATTATAGTTTATAATACATTTAGCAGTACACTGTCTATTATAATAATCTTTTGAAAACGACCTGAAAACATCTACAAAACATTTAAATACGTGGATATTCTTTAACATATAATGTAAGTATCTCGGAAATAATTAAAACAGCAATTTGCATGAATCACATTTTACGCCATACTAGCGTTCCGATTGCGTAACTCGTGCACTTCACTTTTCATTCATTTATTTTTATCAATCGATGAGTGCGCATGCGCCTGCTTACTCTAGGATTCCCCTTTCCAGTGCCGACGAAGACTATTTCAACATATAATAGCTTGTATATTGTAGGCGGGTTAAAGTTATCAAGTACCAAATAGCAAATATCAAACAAGAGACGGGCCAAATACAATACTTTCGCAACATCTCCTGTATATTTCCAAAGTTCAGTTTTTCTTGAATGTTTTCATTTCTCGTCAGTCGGTGTTTGCTCCTTCTCCATGCTGGGTCTCCACCCAGATCCGGGGACCTATATGTCCATGAATTGTAAGGGTAGCATTTCAGATCATTCAATGCCCCTTTCTATTCTGCTCTGGACCACCAGTGATGAAAGATACCCCAGTGATAACATGAATACTTCTGAAAATGGCGATAAATTGACCAAAGACCCGCCTTCCAACTCCGACATGTTTTCAGAAGACTTTTCCTCTCATCTTGAATACGGAATAGGTGGAAATTCTAATTCTCAGATCGTGTACACTGGAAAATTTCGAACCGAGTCTGGAGAAAATATGGCCGAAGTTGATCACTTGGCATATTCTTACGAGGTAGAACGTTTACTGATGGGAATATCAGAGAGCGTTGGACAAAATTTTGACACAAACCAAGGGGACACAGCACTTCCGGAGGACCTTGCCTCAGTTTCACTCATGCAAACAGACACTCCCTTCTCTCATGGACCCATAGTAGGTAGTGCAGTACAAAACACGCCATCTTCCACGTCACCTAGTATAAGCTATGACCAACCCATGACAAGTGCTTTAGATAGCGTATTTTCAGTCCCCACCACCACTGACTCGCTTGTTATAGACTTACTAACACACGGACAGTACAGTTCTGGGGCAGCCAAAGCAGCTTCGTCTGCCCCACAGCGCCAGGATTCCCTCATTGAAAGCCTCCCAAGCACATCTAGTCAGCTGTCCGATCCGCTGTCCCCTGTGGATGTAACTTCGGATTCTTCCTCCCATAGTATCTCTGACCATCTCCAAATTTCACAGCCATCATCATCGACTACGCATAGGTCGTTAAACCTTCCACCCCCGGGTCGCCCCGGCCGAAAACCTGGACCTAATAGTAATCGCACCTATAAAAGAAGAACTGTTCCAAAGGATACCGAGGAATACATGATCAAACGTGCTAAAAACAACATTGCTATCAGAAAATGTCGTGAAAAGGCTAAACGTAAACAAGAGGAGATGGAGGAGAAAATGAAAGAATTAGAAAATGAAAATAAAGTGCTCAAAAAACAAGTGGAGGATCTAAGAACGGAGGTGAGGAGACTGAAAGGCTTTCCAGAGGGGAAAACTCAGTGATACATCAGATGTGAGAGGTACCGTACGTATTGCCCGTACATGCTTTGTTGTCCCAGTGAGAGAGTTTTTCATGATTAAGCGCAGCATTCTCTCTTTTCTACGAGAAAATATGTATACATTCTACATGTATATACAAGAATGGTGATCCCTGTGGCTTACACTTTTTCATCAATAAATTATGTGTGAAAGGCATTATTCTATAATGTGACAAGTTTTAAACACTATTTTTGGTGACAACTTTGGAGAAAGTATATTAGATATAAGTATTTTTCTAACACTTTCATTAATCCATACACAAACTACAAATATGCTGTGTTCAATAGCTAGGCCATAAGATATAATAAGTTCAAGTTTATAAAGTATGGTTTGTATTCAATATAAAATATTTTTATTATAAAGTACAATGTGTTGTTTCTTTGAATTTGCAAAATATTTTGATAAATATTCCTGATGTACATGTATAAAGAAATTTTATTAAGATTTTTTTAAGTAATTGAGTAGACTTTTTTGAAGCATAAAAAGTATTTGATGTAAACTTGATTTTTTTCTTTTTCAATGAAAATATATGTAAACTTTATTTTAGTAAATAACTGTCATATATGCATTAAATAATTCACCCTTGAAATATGTACTTCTAAAAATATTAACTTAATACTGAATTAATACTGAACTAATACTGAAGTTTTTTTTAAATGAATAAAATGTGCTAAATAAAGAGTCAACATTTTGTTTATTATACTTAATTTTACTCTGATTTTTTTTAAATTCAATTGCTTAATAAGTTTTTTGCAGACAACAAAAACAAAATGAGAAAAATTTGCAAACAATTAGATTTTAGTCGCATATTTTTTGTTTATTTGTTTGATTATGTTTTGTTTGTTTGCTTGTTCTGTTTAGTTTTGATTTGAATTCTTAAAACATGCATCGTGGATCTCGTAAATACATGAAGATTTCAAATGTATATTATTAACTTGAATTTATATTTTTTTGTTTATATATATTCATATGTATTTGGTTTTTTTTATTGTTTGTTTTTTTTTTCCTAAAATCGCTGTTATTCTCTTTGTTTTCCACAAAAGGTTTTGGACAGTGAATGAAATGAATGTTTTGATTTCCAAACAAAACCACTCACCGCCATTTTGTTTCGCCATATTTGTAGTGATGATAACTTTGTTCTACTTGTATATTTGATAATGATTCGCCTCTGACACTTTAAAAATTAATTTTAAAATAAGCTTCTATCTAAACGCTTACACAACCTTTTTCTTTTTGAAGGGGGTTGGGGTATATGTAAATGTATTTCATATAAAGTCATACTGTTGTTTTGTAGGAAATATTTTTAATTTTTAGTTATTTATGAACTGAATAAAACTAGATTTTTTTCTTTAATGTTTCTTTTTTAATATATCCTTATTGGTAACTCTATAATTACTTCCATGATGTTGGCAGTATACTCGTTATGATTACGTAAAGGGTAACGTTGTGAAATGTCAGTGATTCATTTTAGCTGGGAAGTTGTTTGTAAATGTTTCCATGGTTACTTTCCTAAAATATCCTATTGGAGATGTAAAAAAAAATGTTTTTGTTGATTGTGTATAACTGAAGGGGTCTCTGTGCTATTGATAAAATAGGAAAACCCCACAGTTAACAAACATTGATTGATTGAGTTGTTATAAATATGCCCATTTTAAGATTGTGATTGATGATACTATAATGACTATAGAGTGTTCCAAGGAACGCAAGTGTCGCTATTTAGCATCATTAAAGATATAAAAATAAATCTTATAGTGGTATTTATTTGCTACTAGTATTATAGTTCATGCATTTGCTTGCAAAGAAAAGACATCCACGGATAGAAAATCTTCTTGTCATATTAATTGTGACAATTAAATAAAAATATGAAACCTCAGCCCTCAAAAGTAAGGTAAATAAATTGAAATGATTAAAAATAGTTATTTTTCATTTCATTTATGCGTGTTTAATCCAACAATCCCTAGAGGGATTTTCCTTCAGTCTACCTCTACCGCAATTGTCAGTCTACAACGAAGCTGTATGTGCTATACTTGAGTTTCGAACCCAAGCAATGAAAGTCCTGAGTGTCATTTTTCTTAATTTGTCAACTATGTTACACAAATGCACTGATGTGCATGTACGTACAAATATTGGGATTTAAATCACGTTTGTGATATGATCCTTGGCTGAATGGCAGACTTCAAATATTCTTGGAAAGATACAAATGTTGGGTAATAAAAGTGTAATTTTAAGGTATAGTGGAGTCTTTGCTCCTTTTGTTTGTTAACCAAAAGATGTATATTTTTACGCTAACTTTGAAGGTAAACATTCAAAAAAAAAAAAAAAAAAAAAAAAAAAAAAAAAAAAATGGAGCAAAGACCATGCATGGAATCTTTGTATTATAGTAATTATAGTAAAATGAAATTTACAGGAAATTATCATTTTTGCCCTCTTTAGTGTGTGTCTGCTATTTCATAGCCAAATCATTTCAATTTTTGTTAGATTTTTGCAAACTGTGGAGATTTTACATAAAATATACGTTAATGTTAAATGAAATATCAAAGAAAATTTGTTATAATTGAGATTTAATTTTTCATCTTTTATTTGTCGCACCATAGGCATTTTGCTCGCTTTATTCGCTCATCTTTATTTAAAAAACGATCCATTTTCGTATATATACTGGTCATGGTGTTTTTTCAATGTATTTGGAATTCAGTAATTGTGGTAAGTATTTATTACACAGTTTCAAAGTACAGTGTCATGAGCCTATAAACATGTGATATATATGTTACATAAAAGTTTTAATCTTATGTTTTAACTTATCTATAATTATAGATATGCTTAAACTTTAGATTTAAACTTTTAATTTTACATATATGCTATAGTTATCGAAACTCTGCCTCTCGAAATTCAAAAGACACGTTTTAATTTAACTGTTCCAAGTTTTTTTGCGAATGAGGTCAAGGTCAAGTGGACTGTTCACACACATCGCACATACAATTACATGTAATTCATGAAAAAAGCTACAAAAAGATTAAACATTTTTAGAATGCTTAAGTATAAGGTTATTTAACTTTTCGCAAGTTTTTCGGTCGATACAATGACCTTGTCAGCACATACAACCTGTTATTGAGTCAAATGCTGACTGACGTTTTTCATACTGATTGTTAGGCCATTATTTATCCCATGTTTACCCCTTTATCCCGTGGATATGACTCATTGGATAAATTTTTCATAATCCACAGTTGTGACGTCACAATGGTTTTTGCGTTAGCGCGATGAAGTAAAATAAAGTGGAGTCCTATATAAAACAGTGTAAAACATTGGTTGTGAAGTATTAAACATGGGATAAAAAGAATCTCCCATGATTTTTTTCGCCAAGGCTCGGGGATAAAAAAACACACAACTCGTTGGATAAAAATCATATCCAACTACAAATCATGGGAGATCCTATATTTATACACTGAACTGTCTACGGATATTTCCGGTTTTTGTTTCCCGATCATGAAAAGGAGCACACGGCGGATGTGACCGGTCGGTAGGGGATGCTCACTCCTCCATGGCACCTGATCCCTCCTCTAAATTTTGAGGTCCGTGTTTGCTCTGCTCCAAATTTGTATCGTGTCATTGGACTCTCGAGATTGAATACTGCATATTTCATTCACCTCAATATGTGTATGATTTTATAGAATATCTTAACGCCCATCAAGTCATTCTTAGAATCTCGGACCCATTGATGTACAATTCAAACTTACTCACATTAGACAACATCTGATATGGAAAGCTTTCTTTCCTCCACAGTCAAACAATGGAATATCTTGCGAAATTATATTAAAAATACTCCTGGAATATTTTCATTCAATTTTTTTGTAGAAAAGGTAATGAACTTTATTCAAATTTGTTGGAATAAAAAAGTACAATATAATTACATTATGTATTATTACACGGAAGTCCTAATCATGGACTTGCTATCGATATTCAAATATTTCAAGCTGTGTATACATTTATAGCAACAACAAGATTTTTTATATAAATAATGACAAATATATGTAAAATTTTTGAATATTTCCAAACCGATACTTCTCTGTAAGGAGATGGGTGAACAAGGCGTGCAGAATGCATATAGCTTCAAAAAGGAGATGGGTGAACAAGGCGTGCAGAATGCCTATAGCTTCAAAAAGGAGATGGGTGAACAAGGCGTGCAGAATGCCTATAGCTTCAAAATTAAAAAAAATCGTATTCATTTTGTGAATTCAGTATTTAGGGTAAAGTTCTCATTATTGAAATTTATGAAATTATGATATGCAAAACTTTTCTGAGGAAAATTTCTCGGCAAAAATTATTCTGTTTTAAAAAAAAAGTGGTATTCGTGGGGTTCGAAGCCTAGCAATAAAAATACTGAGTATCCTTTTCCTTTGGGACTAACGCGGTATCCACTACGCTACACAGCTCCGGTTGAATAGTGGCATTAAAATCATGTTTGTGACAGTGTGATATGACCCTTGACTGATGCGAATGTTGAGTTATAAAATTGTATTTTCAAGGTATAGTTGGTCTTTGCTCCATGTTTTTATTATCCAATATATATATACGCAAACTATGAGGATAAACTTTCAACAACAACAAAAAAAAAAACAAAAAACAAAAACAAAAAAAAAAACGGACCGAAGACCCACTCATATTTAAAAAATTGTATAATAGTATGAGAAAATGATCCTTTTAGCCCTCTTTAGTGTGTGTTTGCTATTTCAAAGGCAAATAATTTCAGTCTTCGTGAGATTTTTTGCAATTTTGGAGATTTTGCATAACGCATTCTTTAATGTTAGATAAAATATCAAAGAAGATTTTGTTATAATTGAGATTTAATTTTTCACCTTCATGTTTGAAGCACTATAGGCATTTGGCTTGCCTTGTTCGCCCATCTTCTTAGCTTATTTTTTTCTTTTAGTGCATTTTTTTTTTACTTTTTGTTTTGATTATTTAATATCAAAACTTATTCACCTTGTATTCACCTTGACTCTTGATGTAGGGAGAGGGTTAAAATAACTTTTGTGAATAAAATATTATTTAAGTTACGTGTTTTTCTTTCTTTTCTTTTTTAATCTGCTCAAAATTCTACTTGGTTTCCATAATTTCCCTCATTTTTGAGATTGGCTGTGACGTCAAAATGCATGTTGTCCAATTGTAATGATATGTTTTATTTATTTTAAAAGAAACATCTCAGGTATTTCTATTAATATTTTGGAGGTTTCCATTTCTTCTCATTAATATTAATAATCCTACGTTTTCTATATCGGAGGCCTTTCGCGTAAAAGTCACAA